AGGAGGGGAAGGAGAGGGAGGAGGGGGAGGGGGAGAGGGAGAGGGAGGAGGAGGAAGAGGAGGAGAAGAGGGAGTGGAAGAGGAAGAGGAAGAAGGAGGAGGAGGAAGAAAAGAAGATGAATAAGAGGAGGAGGAGGAAGAGGAGGAAGGGGAGGAGGAGGAAGAGAAGGAGGAGGAGGGGGAGGAAGAGAAGGAGGAAGGGGAGGAGGGGGAGGAGGAGAGGGAGGGGGAGGAGATGATAGGACCCAGGTGGGAGAGGTAGGGAAGGCCCAGGGAGAGATATGCCTGGCACTATTCTGTCCAGGGACACCTCTCCACCTTGTGTCTTGAGGACAGTCTTGCCCGCCTGCCCTTTCTTTGCGTCCAAGTTGCTATGTATCGCTTTCCCTGTCTCTGTCTCTGTTTCTGCCTCAGTCTCCCTCTTGGTTGGTCTCTGCACAACCCTCAATGCATTAGTCATTCTGGCACAAAGAGGAGAGCCTGGATGGATGACAATGGAGGGAACCCAAGTTAAAGTATTCAGGAGGGAGTCCCCTTTCCCCAACTAGCGTCTCCCTCCTCCAGAGCCTGGTCGTTTCTGAGCAGAACTCGTGGAGGCTGTGTTTGAGGAAGGACAGTCCCCTCACACCATCTGCCTCCTTACTGCCTCTCTTTGGTTCTTTTTGCTTTTAGTTAGAGTCTGGCTGTGTCCCCAGGCTGGAATGCAGTGGCGCGATCTCAGCTCATTGCAGCCTCCGCCTCCCGGGTTTAAGCGATTCTCCAGCCTCAGCCTCTCGAGTAGCTGGGACTACAGGTGTGTGCCACCACACTTGGATAATTTTTGTTTGTTTGTTTGTTTGTTTTTTTGAGACAGAGTCTTGCTTTGTCACCCAGGCAGGAGTGCAGTGGCGCGATCTCGGCTCACTGCAACAACCTCCGCCTCTGGTTTCAAGTGATTCTCCTGCCACAGTCTCCTGAGTAGCTGGGACTACAGGCACCCACCACCACACCCAGCTAATTTTTGTATTTTTAGTAGAGATGAAGTTTCACCATATTGGCCAGGATGGTCTCAATCTCTTGACTGGTGATTCACCCACCTCAGCCTCCCAAGGTGCTGGGATTACAGGCATGAGCCACTGTGCCCGGCCTAATTTTTGTATTTTTAGTAGAGACAGGGTTTCACCATGTTGGTCAGGCTGGTCTCGAACTCCTGACCCCAGGTGATCCTCCCACCTCGGCCTCCCAAAGTGCTAGGATTGCAGGCGTGAGCCACCACGCCTGTTCTCTCTGATTCTTGACCCCTCCACCTCCATCCTTATCTCTGCACTTCCTATCTCTGCCAGCTGTGTCTTTATATCTCTGCATGTCCCCGACTGTGTCTCTGTGTGTCTTTGGGAGGCCAAGCTGGGCATATCATGAGGTCAGGAGTTCGAGACCAGCCTGGCCAACATGGTGACACCCCATCTTTACTAAGTCTCTCCTTCTTTTCAGGGTTTGGGTTCTCCCTCAGTCTGTCTCTATCTGTCTCTGTAAAGCTCTCTTTTAGCCTGTGTCTTTCTCTTCCTGTGTCTGGCCATGTTTTTGTGTCTTTGTCCTGTGTAACTGGCAGGTCCTGGTCACCTCACCTGGCAGGAATCCTTCCCGTACTTCTCATCCCCGGCACACAACATGTTCTGGGTGATCTGGCCAGGGTAGGCATGCTCACACTCCTCACGGGGCACCAGGTGGATGTATGCACACTGGATGGTGTCAGGGAAATCACCTGTAAGGAGAGAGATGGGCCATACTCAGCCCAGGCCTTGCACTCCCCACATCCTCCCCAGCCATCCCCCAACCCCTATAAGTCCTCCATCCCCTACTGGTCCCTCTTTTCCATTGGTTCCCCTCTTCCTGTTTGTCTCTCATTCTTATAGCCCATTTCCATCATACCTGCCTCCTAATTGGTCCCTCTTTCTATCATTCTTCCCTCCCATTGGCTGTCTTCCTCATTAATAGTCTCATCTCCAGGAGTCCTCATTTCCTATTGGTTTTCCTTTTCTCTTAGGTCCCTCCTCCACTTTTCTCTCTTCCACTGGTCCCACCTTCTTCAGTAGTTTCAGTTGACCTGGAGGTCTCTGCCTCTATTAGGCCCTCCTCTACTGTACCCCTCCTGCTCAGTAGTCCATTCTTCACTGGACACTTCTTGCTCATTGATTCATCTTGATGGGTCACTCTATAACTATTGGTCTTTTCCTAAGTAGCCACGTCCTCTCCCACTGGTTCTTCCTTTCTATTGGTTCTTCATCCAATGGTCCACCTCCATCATTGGTCCTTTTCTAACTGTCTCCACCCTCCCTCATGGGTCCTCCCTTTCTACTGGCCCTTCATCCAATGGTCTGCCTTCCTCATTGATCCTTTCCTAACTAGCCCTGCCCTCCCTCATTGGGTCTCTCTTCCTATTGGTCTGCCTCCCTCCTTGGTCCTTTTCTAACTGGCCTCACCATCCTCCATTGGTTCTCCCTTCCTATTAGCTCTTCATCCAATGGTCCACCTCCCTCATTGGTCCTTTTCTAACTTGCCCCATCCCCCACCCCACTGGCTCTCCCTTCCCATTGGCCCTTCATCCAGTGGTTCACCTTTCTTATTGGCCCTTCACACACAGGCCCACCTTCATGGTTCCTGCTGATCTATTGCACCTGTTTTTTCCTCTAGTGACTCCTCTGGACCATTGACCCTTTCCTCTTAGTCCCTCTTCCATCAGCTCTACCCCCATTTACTGTCTCAATTCACGTCCTTCAGTCTGCTCTTGTGCTTTATTGGTTTCTCTTCTATCAGTTTCTTCTCCACTATTCCTTCCTGCTCTTCAGTGAATCCTAATCAGTCCTCTTTGACCTCTGGCCTCCTTCCTGATTAGAGTTTCCCCACTGACCTTCCCTATTCATTGAACCTTCATCTTATGTTCCATCTCTCCCATGCTCTTCACCCATTGGTCTACATTTTCCATTGGCTATTCACTCATTGGCCCAGCTCCCAGATTCACCCTCCCTCCCCCTTGACCTTTCTCCTATTGAAACCTTGTCCCATTGGTCCTTACCATTAGCCCATCTTCCCATGGCCCCTCACCAGCTGTCCCACCCTCTATCTTTTGGCTCACTTCCCCCAGCAGCCAGTAGCCTGCTCCCCACCAGCCTCCCACTACTGACCATCTGCTGTCTTGCCCCAGCCCAGGATGTGGCAGCTGGTGGTGTTGGCTGAGCAGTCCCTCTCCAGGGGAAGGGGCTGGATGAGTTCAGAGAGCTTGGCTGGGCGTGCCAGGCGCAACAGCATGATGTCCTGGTCGTGGGTGGCAGCATCGTAGCCAGGGTGGATCACAGCCCGGACAACAGAACTCTGCTCCTGGGAACTCTCCCTTTGCCGAAGGTTATGCTTCCCCAGGAAGACCTGAAGATTCCTGGGAAGGAAGAGGGCTGGGTCTCACCTGGAGCCCTTGGGCTACAGCTGAGGCTTCGGAGAGGGCTGAGAAGTCATGAATCAGCTGGCCTGCTCCTCCCACAGTCTTCCCCAGCTGAGTAAATGGCAATTCCATCCTTTCAGAATAATCTTGGGGGCTATTCTTCACTCTCTTTATCTCATGCCCTACATCCAAGCTGTCCAGAAATGCTTTTGCCCCTCTGAAAGCATATCCAGAATCAGACCACATCTCACCTTTCCCATGGCTACCATTTTGGTTTGAGCTGCCTTTTCACTTCTGACCTGAGCTAGAGCAGTAGCCTCCTCACTGGGCTCCCTGCTCTGTCTCTGGCCCCCCACAGTCCATCCTCCACAAAGCAACTAGAAATATTTTAACAACATAAGTTGGTCCCGTGCCTCCTCTGCTCAGCCGCTCCTATGACTCCCATCTCACTCAGAATCAAAGCCAAAGTTCTCAACGTGGTGCACCAGGCCTTGCAAGCATTGTCCCATCATCTCTCAGACGTCTTCTCCTTCCACTCTCCCCTTCCTTCCCTCTGCTCCAGCCAAACACCAGCTTCCCCGTCTTGCCTTGAACACAATAGTGGTCTTCCCACCCCAGGGCCTTTGCACTGCTGTTCCCTCTGCCAGCAAGTCAGTCCTCCAAGTGTCTACATACCTCACTCCCTCACTGCCTTTAAATGTCGCCTCTCAGGGAAGCCTTCCTTAGTGGCCCAATTAAAATACAAATACCTATTCCAGTAGGCAATTCCTATCTCCCTACCCTGCTTTCTGTTCCACCAGAGAACCTATCACAATCATCTGACATGCTATATCTTTATCGTTAAATATTTACTCATTGTATTGTTTCTCCTCCTTGCAGAGCAGTGGTGTCCACTAAATGCTACAATGCCATGTTCTCTATCTGCACTGTCCAGAGGTGGCTGGGGGAGCCACAAGCTGCAGGTGACTGCTGAGTATTTGAAATGTGGCTTGTGGATTTTCCATTTCATTCATTTCAATATAATTTGCTGTATGTGACTGATGGTTACCACATTAGACAGTGCAGCTCTAGGATGTCAAGATGGGGATTTTTGTTCTATTCAGATATAGTATCTCCAGTGCCTTGATCAGCACCTGGCACATGATAGGTATTTGATACATATTCCTGAAACAAACAGAGAGTCACTCCCTTGCTCAAACGTCTCCCATGGCTCCCCATTGTCCTAAGAATAAAGTCTGGGATCCTCCACTTGGCACTGGAGGCCCTGTGTGGATCTGGCTGTAGTCACTTTCCAATCTTATCTCCCAGCACCTTCTGCCACCCAGTGAACGGGAAACTTTCTTTTCTGAGAATACTCAAGACGGTTCTCACCTCAGGGGCGTTATCACTGCCTTTCCTCTGCCCTGAACACTCTGTTCCCATCTTCCTGCCTCCACTTGGATTTTATCTCATCAGAAAGTCCTTCCTGACCCTCCTCCATCTAAAGTACATACCCTTATTCTTTTCCTCCATAATTTGTAATTGTGTGGGGTTTTGAAGGGTTTGCTTCTTTGTTTTTTTGAGACAGGGTCTCGCTCTGTCGCCCAGGCTGGATCTGCAGTGGTGCTCTGTAGATCACAGCTCACTGCAGCTTTGAACCTCTGGGCTCAACTGATCCACCTGCCTCGGCCTCCCAAAGTGCTGGGATTACAGGCATGAGCCACCACGGCCACCCCAATTTGCTTCTTCTTTCTTTCCACTGCAACCTCTGCCTCCCAGGTTCAAGCGATTCTCCTGCCTTAGCCTCCCAAGTGGCTGGGATTACAGGAGCCCACCACCATGCCTGGCTAATTTTTTGTATTTTCAGTAGAGACAGGGTTTCACCATGTTGGCCAGGCTGGTCTCAAACTCCTGACCTCAGGTGATCCACCTACCTCGGCCTCCCAAAGGGCTGGGATTACAGGCGTGAGCCACCGTGCCCGGCCCCCACTTTGCTTCTTAGATAACTGCTTGTCTGCCCCGTTCTGTCCTTGTGCTCCCGAGGGCAGGGATGATGATGTCTCATCCATTGCTGAATCTCCACTGCCCAACTCGAACGTGGGACTTAGCGGGGCCCTTAGTCAATATGCATCAAAAGAATGAATGATGGTGGTGAGAGTCATCCCAGGTCTCCTTGGGGTTGGGGGAACCATCCCAGGGATTGTCACTTGCCATTTCGCTGCACCTCAGTTTCCTCATTTGCAAAATGGTGCCAAGAGTCCCTTGTGGTGGGCATTCTGGGAAAGGTGTGTAAATGGCTTCACTCAGCACCTGATTGGTAGTTAGCATTAAACAAGTGGCAGCTTTTGTGAATCTAACTCGTGAGAATCAGCACCTGGGGTTTTCGTCCTGGGCCCTCCAGTTGCTCCAACTATGCCAGCTTTTTGGATGATCTCATCTCGTCCCATGGCTTTAAATATACCTGTTTGCTGACGCTGCCTTCATTTTAACCTCCAGCCCTGACCTCTCCTCTGAGCTCCAGAGGCCGCCCCGGCCTCCCTGCTGGGACATCTCCCAGGCGTCTCAAACTCACCGGGGCTACAGCAAAATGTCAGACGCTCCCCTGCCCACACCCAGCCTGTTTCTCTTTCCCTCTCCCCCAGCTCAGAGAAAGACGTGGCAAAACACCCAGTTGTTCAGGACAAATACCCAGAATCTAGCCCTGCTTCTTTCCTCTCCCTCCTGTTCCTTGTTGCCAAATTCTGCTGGCTCAGTCACAAAATTCCACATCCCAAGATATTCAACATCCCTCCATCCCCACTGCCACCGCCTGGGTTCAAGCCACCCTCTCATGTCGCCGGATGAAAGCAACAGCCCCCATGTGGGCCTCCCTCCCTCTTCTCTTGCCCAGTCCACGTTCCACGTGGTAGCTTGTAAAAATGTAAATCAGGCCGGGTATAGTGGCTCACACCTGTAATCCCAGCACTTTGGGAGGCTGAGGTGGGCAGATCACCTGAGGTCAGGAGTTTGAGACCAGCCTGGCCAACATGGTGAAACCCCGTCTCTACCACAAAAATTAGCCAGGCAAGGTGGTGCACACCTGTAATCCCAGCTACTTGGGGTGCTGAGGCAGGAGAATCACTGGAACCTAGGAGGCGGAGGTTTCAGTGAGCTGAGATCATGCCACTACACTCCAGCCTAGGTGACTGTGTCTCAAAAAACAAACAACAAAACAAACTGCCCAGTGGCTTCCTACTGTGCTCAGAATTAAATCCAAATGCCCATCATGCCCTGCAGGTTCCCAAATGATCCGATTCCCCCATTAGAAGGTAAGTTCATGAAGACAGCAATTTTGCTTGTTTTTTTTTTTCTTTTCCACTGCTATGCCCGCAGGGCCTGGCACACATTAAGTACTCAATTAAGCAATGGCCGAATGCACCTGGCTATCAGATGGCCTCGTGCTGGGATGGGAGGATGCCTGTATCACCTCCTGCCTGACATCTACAAGACACAAGACACCCTCGGGGTTCAGTCGCATCCGCTGTTCATTTATGGCGTAGACTCACGGTTTTTTGCAGTGGGCAGCTGTGAGGACCCACAGTGGATGGATAAGGACCCCGCCACACAGCAAGTGACTAGAGGTGTAGAGAGCAGCTTGGTAGGGATGAGATGTCTTGTCGCAGGGTCCGCCATGCACCAACTTATTCTGAGCCTCTGCCCAGGCTGAGGGAGAGAGGATCTGAGTCAGAGAGGAGTTCTGGAGAAACCAAGCGCATCCCCCTCAAGATGAACTCCAGTCAAGATCGGTCAGGTGCAGTGGCTTCTGCCTGCCTGCAATCCCAGCTGAGGCAGGAGAACTGCTTGAGCCCAGGAGTTTGAGACCAGCCTGGGTAACACATTGAGACCTTGTCTCCACAAATAAAATAAAAATAAAAATAAATAAAAATTAGCAGGGCATGGTGGCATACACCTGTAATCCCAGCTACTTGGGAGGCTGAGGTGGGAGGGTCACTCGAAACCCAAGAGTTCAAGTCAGCAGTGAACTATGGATCGTATTGATCGTGCCACTACACTCCAGCCTGGGTAGCAGAGCGAGACCCTGAAAAAAAAAAAAAAAAAGAAAAAAAAAAAAGAAAAAGGAAAAAAAGCTTCTCTGTATTTCCATTCCCAAACTTACCCCATTCCCATTGCAAACCCAACTGTCTCCCCTATCCCCGGGCTTTCTCCAACTTTCCAACCTACCTCCTACCTCTTCTGCATTTAGATCCCCATCCCTCAAGCCAACCCCACCCCAAACCCTCATATCTTCAAGCCCACCTCCCACCACCCTCCCCATCTGTATTCCCCACCCTTAGCCTAATCCCCAACGTCTTCCTCATTTCAAAGCCCCCCAACCCCAACCCTGTGCATATCCCCATCCCCAATTCCAGCCTCTTCTCCATCAACAAGCCCAGTCCTGTCTGTAAGCCTCCCCCATCCAAATGCCCTTTCCCCACCTGCAGCGACCAGGCTCAGCACCACCATCAGCTTCTTCATGGTCGCTCCTGAAAGGGGAAGCCACATGGTCCATCAGTCACTGCCTCGACCCTCCCCACATCCCTCTGTCTGCGCCCTCCGCATCCTCTCCTTCCTCCCTGGCCTGCTACGCTTTCCTGCCTTGACCTCTGTCCTTCCCGTCTAGCCTGCTGATTTCTTCTTCCCCAGCCCATATCTTCCATCAGAGGAGCCCACGAAAACAGTGCCAAAGAGAATTCAGACCTCCGTCCACTGGTCCAGTGACTCATGGCGAGATTCTGATTAAATCTTTCTACTTTACTGGGCGTTGATTTGCCTTCCTGTAGACAGGAGAGGGTTACCCTAGGGGGCCCTAGCGTTCTTCCTCTGTATTCAGAGGAAGATTTTTCTCTGAACCCGGCTCTGTGCTCAGCGGTCACCCACCCCGCCCGCCCGGCAGGTTCTGTGGTGCCTGTGATCTTACCTGCTGCAGGCCTCCGGGCCTCTGGGGATTCTTGAGTGCGGGGAAGGAACAGCTTCGAGGCAAGGAGGCAGAAAGAGTTAGAAACGCGGGGAGCCGTGGGGAGAGAAGACACTCAGATGCAGTGGCAGAGCTAAGCGGAGGACGCAGGGGCCGCGGAGCCTAGGGCTGCAGGGACTGCCAGACACACACCCCCAGCTCCCAGGCCTCCCTGGAAGAGGCTGGTTCTGTCCCCAGATGCTTCTGGAACGTCCTTTTAACCCCTGTCTCTCAGGTCCCTGAGCAAGGAGACTGGCTACACCCTTTTCCTCCTTACCCAGGCCTCCCACACACATTCCTCCCTCCCCCATGCTCTGCTCCTGGTGACCCCTGACCAGGCCTCCAGGGAGGGGAGCACTGGTCCCTGAGTGCAGTGGGGGCCTGGACTCCTGGGTCTCAGGGAGGAGGGGTTGGGGGCCTGGACCCTTGGGTCTGAGGGAGGAGGGGCTGGGAGCCTGGACTCCTGGGTCTGAGGGAGGAAGTGGGAACTTGGACTCCTGGGTCTGAGGGAGGAGAGACTGGGGGCCTGGACTCCTGGGTCTGAGGGAGGAAGTGGGAACTTGGACTCCCAGGTCTGAGGGAGGAGGGGCTGGGGGCCTGGACTCCTGGGCCTGTGGGGTTTGAGGGAGAAGGGGCTGGGGACCTGGAATCCTGGGTCTAAGGGGCTGATGCCTGGACTCCTGGGTCTAAGGGAGGAGGGGCTGGGACCTAAACTCCTGGGTCTGAGGGAGGAGGGACTGGGGCCTGAATCTGAGGCAGAGGAAGTTCTAGTCGGCTCAGTCCTTAGACCTCCAGGTCTTGGAGAAAGCAAGTGTCTGAAGACAAATTCCGGCCTCTGGGGCAAGCAGATGGTGCTCCAGGCCTCCCTGCACCCCCAGCACTCTCTGTGCCACCCAGGGACCTGCAGGCCCTCACTCCGGGCTCCAGAGCCCTCGGGCACTGGGAACCAGCCTGCCCAGGTTCAGTGGGGTTGGGGTGACTCACACACCTGCCCGTAGGTCCCTGTGTGTGCTGCCTGCCGACCTCCGTGTCCCCAGGAGAGAGCGAGCCAGCCCAGCAGGGAGACAGCGTGTGTCACCACACTGGCCCCCGCCCCTGCCCCGGGCTGGGGAGCCGGCCAAGGCGCTATGGGGAAAGGGCCCAGGAACAATTGGGCTTTGTCCGCCCCCAGCACCCCAGTGCCATGCTCCCAGCAGCTCCGCGCCTCAACCTCTCTTCCGGCGGGCAGGCGGGAGGGCGGTTACATCAATGGCTTCCTTTTGTCCCTGTCTGACAGTCCTCCTTTGCAGTCTCTGACTGCCCACCCGGCCCTGACTGGAGATTTCGGCACTCTGCATCCTCCTGGTCCCGCTCCTCCAAGCCTGCCCACCCCTGAGGTCTCTCGCTGCATCTGTCTCGCTGGCCGTGGAGGGGAGGGGGCTTCCATTTCTCTCTCTCTCCCATCTCAGTCTCTGTATTTGTGTCTCTCTACTTTTTTCTCCACTTTATTTTGTCCCTGTCTCCCTCTCTCTTTTTTCTCTCCCTTCATCTCTCTTTCCTTCCTTCCTTCTTTTTTCTTTTTTTTTTTTGATGGAGTCTTGCTCTGTTGCCCAGGCTGGAGCGCAGTGGTGTGACCTCGGCTCACTGCAGCCTCTGCCTCCTGAGTTCAAGCAATTCTTCTGCCTCAGCCTCCTCCCGAGTAGCTGGGATTACAGGCACCCACCACCATGCCTGGCTAAACTTTTTTTTGTATTTTTAGTAGAGAAGAGGTTTCGCCATATTGGCCAGGCTGGTCTAAAACTCCTGACCTCAGGTGATCCACCCACCTTGGCCTCCCAAAGTGCTGGATTACAGGTGTGAGCCACTGTGCCCGGCCTCTCTCCCTTTCTTTCCCCTTGATTCTCTGACTCTCCATGTTTATCTTCTCCTGGGTCTCTTCTTAGATTTCCCCGGGGAAAGCACTGTGTGTGCCCAGAAGGGAGTCAGGTTCCTCAGGAACTAGCGGGGATGATTCCCGAGCGATGAGGAGGCTAGCAGGATGCAGGAGGACTTGAGGACTTATTGATGAGATGCAGACACACAGTGAGGAGTGTGGAGTTAAGCGGAAATCGGAGAGCACTTGGGAACGACGCGGGGCTGTGATGAGATGGTGGTGCCGGGCAGCGGCAGAGGAATCCGGGAAGACTTAGGGAGGTGCCTTTGAACTCGGGCCTAGAAAGCTGAGCCAGGCGTAGGTCAGGAGGAGAGGCTGTGAAAATGCCTGGCCTGGGTGCACATGGGAAACCTCAGGGTGCACATGGTTGGGGTGGTTGGTATGGGCTGGAGGGTGAGGGTGTGTGTGGCAGAGTGGAGGGAAATGAGGAGGGGGACGTCACTGGGTAATAAGGACAGTGATAGGAATGAGTCTGGCTCAGCACCTGCTTGGCCTGAGCATTACAGGTCACTTTTTAAAAACTTCTTTTTTCTTTTGAGACAACGTCTTGTTCTGTTGCCCAGGCTGGAGTGCAGTGGCACAATCCTTGCTCATGGCAGCCTCAACCCTCGTGGGCTCAAGCGACCCTCCCACCTCAGTCTCCCCAAGAGCTGGGACCACAGGCATGAGCCCCTGCTTCCAGCTAACCCTTTTATTTCTCTTGCATTGAATCTAATTGTCATCTTGCATTGCCCAGCCCCCATCACTCCTGAGAAGGAGACTACTCTGGTGCTCAGTATCCTCTCTGGGTGCTCCCTCTCACACTTGGTCCCCACTGACCTCAGCATCTTCTTCTCAGGACCTGCCATCCTCACAGACAGCAGGTCTGATGTTGCACAGCCCAGTGACCAGGCCCTAACCCTCTGCCTCCTCTCTCTGGGGCATCCCTTCCTCTCTGTCCCACACCCCCAACCCCAACTCAGAGCTGCACCCTCTCCCACCTGGACCAGGATCCCTCTGTACTCTGTATCCCTCGCCTGATCCCACAGAGGCCATCCTGTGCCTTGTGCTGACCTTCCCCCTCCCCTCACAGCCCTGCCCTGGCTCCCCATCTCTCTTGGGACCAAGTCCCAGCCCCCCAGCCTGGCGTTTGAGGACCTTTAGCATCCAGAGAAGCCCTGGCTGATGAAATGTGATGCCAAGCACGCATGCACATTTATGTTTTCCAATCACCACACTTTTTTTTTTAAGTCAGAAGATTTTTTAAGTGTCCTTACCACAAAAACTAAGGGTGTAAAATAATGCATATGTTAAATAGCTTGGTTTAGCCATTCCACAATGTATACATACATATATCAAACATGATGTTATACACCAGAAATATATACAATTTTTACCTGTCGATTAAAAAATTAATTTAAGGCCAAGCGTGGTGGCTCATGTCTGTAATCCCAGCACTTTGAGAGGCCAAGGTGGGTAGATAGCTTGAGTCCGGGAGTTCATGACTAGCCTGGGCAACATAGTGAGAAACCATCTCTGCAAAAAGCAAAAAAATTAGCCAGATGTGGTGGTGCACACTTGTAGTCCCAGCTACTCAGGAGGCTGAGGTGGGAGAATTGTTGAGCCTGGGAGGTCGAGGCTACAGTGAGCTGTGACTGTGCCACTGCACCCCAGCCTGGGCAACAGAGCGAGGCCCCTGACTCAATAATAATAATAGATAAATTTAAAAGAAAGTAAAAATTAAAAAGAAACAGGAGCAGCTAATTCTAATAGTTCATGGAATTCAATATATCCAAAATATTATCATATTAAATAAAAATAAGAAAATTAGTAAAGGGATTATTTGCCCTTCTTCCTTTTTGGCACCCTGAGTGTTTGGAATCTGTTGTGTCATATATATTTACAGATGTCTCAGTTGGAGCTCATTTTAAGCCATCAAGAGCCCTGGACATGGCTGGACAAGGTGGCTCATACCTGTAATCCAAGCACTTTGGGAAGCAGAGGTGGGAAGATCACTTGAGCCTAGGAGTTCAAGACCAGCCTGGGCAACATAGTGAGACCCTATCTCTCTAAAATAAATAAATAAATAAATCACCTAGGTGTGGTGGCACACATCTGTGGTACCAGCTCTACAGGAGGCTGACGTGGGATAGTTCCTTGAGCCTGGAGGCCCAGGTTGCAGTAAGCCATAGTCATGCCACTGCACTCCAGTGTGACAGAGCCAAATCCTGTCAAAAATTTTTTTAAAAAGAGTCCTGAGTGGTGAGTGGCCCTCACACTGCATGACACAGCTATGCCTACATCTCCGTGTGGCTCCAGCTTTCTAGAACACATCAAGCTTCCCTGACCCATGCCATGCCCTCTGGCCTCTGGCCCTTCACTGAATGCTATTCCCTCTACTTCTTGAGACGGACTCTCATTCTGTCGCCTAGGCTGGAGTGAAGTGGCGTGATCTTTACTCACTGCAACCTTTGCCTCCTGGGTTCAGGCAATTCTCCTGCCTCAGCCTCCCAAGCAGATGGGATTACAGGCACATGCCACCATGCCTGTATTTTTAGTAGAGATGGGGTTTCACCATGTTGGCCAGCCTGGTCATGAACTCCTGACCTCAGGTGATCTGTCCACCTCGGTCTCCCAAAGTGTTGGGATTACAGGTGTGAGTCACCACACCCGGCCTATTCTGTCTTCTTAGCATGTTTTCCCCACCTTTTCCTGGCAATAACCTGTCCTTCAAGTCTTTGCTTGGACATTACCTCCTCCAGGAAACCTTCCCTGAACACCACCCAACTTCCACCTACTCATTCTCTCACGTAGGTTCCCACAGCAGGTGTCTCCCTCAACTCACCCTGGACGGGGGCCACCTGGATTGACATTCGTCGTCTCTTCCACTGGACCATGAGCTCCTTGAGGGCAGGTACGGGACTGACTCATCCCTGTGTCCCAAGCAACCACACAGGACCTGGCCCAGAATCAGCCTTAGGAAAGACTGATCAAATGACTAAATGACTTTATCACACCCACTCCCACTTTACAGATAAGAAAACTGAGGCTCAGAACAGGAAGTTCATTGCTCAACATCAAACATCCAGGAAATGGTGGAGCCTGAATGGGAACTCAACTTCCGACACGGCAGTGGATGTGGCCCATCCCTTGGTGGCCTGGCTGGGTCTATCTTATGACAGTACGAGGGGAGTGAACTCGGGAGGAATTGTTGAGAGCTGGGTGGGGAAAGAAGAGAGGTGTTAGGCTGTGGGGAGTGGAGGGACTTTGAAGAGAAAGAAATTCCTAACTCTACCACTTCTCTAGTGACCTTCATGGTTTGCCATCTCTGCATACTTTGAATGCTTATTTACTGGATATTTTGCTCCAGATTGACTTGCTCTGCAAAAATCTTCAATAAATAAATTCTTTTGTCTGGGTGCAGTGGTTCACACCTGTAATCCCAGCACTTTGGATGGCTGAAGTGGGAGGATTACTTGAGCTTAGGAATTAGAGAGCAGCCTGGACAACATAGTGAGACCCCATCTCTAAAAAAAAAAAAAAAAATTCAGCCAGGCGTGGTCCCAGCTGCTCAAAAGGCTGAGGCAAAAGGATTGTTTGAGCCCAGGAGATTGAGGCTGCAGTGAGCTATGATCATGCCACCACACTCTAGCCTGGATGATACAGCAAGACCCTATATCAAAAAAAGAAAAAAAATTTATAAGGAAACTTCGTGAGACTGTAAGCAGAAAAAAGTGCCAGAAGTCATAAACGATAAAAACCAATGCCTAGGCCAGGCGGGGTGGCTCACGCCTGTAATCCCAGCACGTCGGGAGGTCGAGGCGGGCGGATCGCCTGAGCTCAGGAGTTTGAGACCAGTCTGACCAACATGGTGAAACCCCATCTCTACTAAAAATACAAAAATTAGCCGGGCATGATGGCAATCACCTGTAATACCAGCTACTTGGGAGGCTGAGGCAGGAGAATCACTTGAATCTGGGAGGCGGAGGTTGCAGTGAGCTGAGATCGCACCATTGCACTCCAGCCTGGATAACAAGAGCAAGACTTCGTCTCAAAAACAAAACAAAACAAAACAAACAAAAACTAAAACCAATGCCCATTGAAGGCTTACCCTGTGCCATAAAATGTTTGAGTGCTTTCTGTATATTAACTTATTGAATCTCTGTAATAACCCTAGAAATAGGTGCTTTTTCTCCCACTTCAAGGATGAAGGAACAGGGACGGGGAAACTAATGAGCTTAAAGGAAAATAGCTTGTAGGGGCTAGAAC